GGGTCCCGGGGCCCGCGGCTTCCGAGCCACCCGGCGCCACGCGTGCCACTCGCGTTCCCTCGGTTGCGCGATTCGGGCCGCGGGGGCTCGGCTCAAAGGGGTGGGTGCTTTGGGCGTCGGGGAAAGCTTTCTGCTTAGAGGCCGGGACACCATCAAGTGCGCCAAGTGGGTAAGTCTCCCCGACGGCCACGACTCCCCAACCAAACAAGTCGCTTTTATTTACCCCTGCACTTCTCAAGTGGGTCCCATTTTTAGCCACCGAGTGCTCAAGAGTCTAGTGGGAGAGGGACAGGGCACAGTGTCAGAGGGAGAAATTGGTTTCTATTTCCAGCTCCATCATTTGTCACCCCGGTCAAGTTGATTAAACCAAGTGCCTCGGTTTACCCAGCCATGAAATGGGATCCGTAATGCTCGCGTTTTCCCTCCTCTCCCTATGATAGGAAACCTTCTGTGGACTCTCTTGGCGTTGTTCAAGCATGACCGGGTCTTTCTAATTGCACACCTGAGTGTTCAATGCGGGGTGCATTTTTAAATGAAATTGTAAGATTCATTAATTGTGTAAAATTTTCATTTTAAAAGAAAGATCATTGACAGTGTTTAAAAGAATCTAAAGCAGTTTGGGGACAAGATGGAAGAACTTGGATATTTAGAAGTGGCTTGTGAAGGGGAAAACAGCTGTTACTTTAGTAGAGTCTTCAGTCAGTGGAGTTGAGGAAAATGGGATCTTGGATTGTGTATGCTTTAAGTGAGAGACTGCTGTCTAACCACTTGATTTAGAGTGGAAGCCGTGTTCCCCTGCTATATCTGGTTAAGAGGTCAGAGAACCTGTTTCCAGGACAGAGAACCTGTTTCCTCTTAAGTGTGTAATATACCAAGTAGAGAATGTCTCCCCCCTTGCTTATCTTTTCTTTAAGTTGTATGGGTGAAACTAACTCAGAAAAGTCACCTGCTCTGCGACCCCTTTTGCCACAATACCTCCCTCCCAGCTGAATCCTTACTGTGTGGCCTTTGAGTCTGGCCTGTCTGCAGGCATCAGCTTTCTGTTCTCATGCCTTTCTTTCTAAGCCAACTTTACTTTGTTGGAAAGAATAGTAGCCACTATTTGCAACTTACATTGTCTAGGAGAGTAGGAGTCAAGGGGCTGAAAGTTTATTGCAAATTTCAAAGAATATGGACCCTGGAATTTGGATGCATGAGTTGGCCTATCTTTTTCCAACTCAATATTGGTGAGAGATTCATTTGATTACCCAGGTAAGAGGAGGCTTTGTGAGTAGGGAGCTCTTGAGAAATCTAGCTTGGTGCTAGACTGAGTAAGTGCTTCTCCAGCAAAGGAGTGGGGAGGAGGAAGTGGTGGCCTGGGAGGGGGTGGAGGTGCCTCCCCATAATCACATCATCTGAGAGGTGATCAGGTGCCCTGGATTAGCAGCAGGGCAGGGAAAAGGTTGAGGTAAAGGAGTGGAGCTGCAGGACAGATTCTAGAATGTGCCTGAGGCACTAGGTGTCCTTCTGTCCCTTCTCTTTTAGATTGTTTCTTGCCACCCCTAGGGCAGCTGCCCTGCCTTTTTTTAGACCCTCACTGCCACTCCTATCCCTTGATGTCTAAAGAAGACCCAGCATTTATGTTCTTTCTCCCGGCTGACCTTTCAGGTATGAGAAGAAAACTTCAGATTCTCCCTGTTCCCTACTTCTTAAATTAATGTCCCATTCTCCTACAGATTAAGGATTCTTTGGGCTTCATCAGTTCTTAGAAAGTAAAAAAAAAAAAAAAAAAAAAAAAAAGCAAGACTTATTGTGTCTGAGAAAAGTAAATGGAACAGTCTACATAAAGATACGGAAAGTTAGTTTTTCCATGGAGGAAGATAATGTTATTCATTGTCTGGGTGAAAACCTTGGGCGACTGGGTGAGGGAGGGCAGGGCTGGGGGTCCAGTTGTGCTGGACAGCCTGCTCCCTGGTCCTTGCAAGAGAAGGATGCACCCAGCTCCTGCGGTCACCTTCTGTTTCTGCGCTTACGTTTGCCTTGTGAGAGAGAGAAGACAGCAGCATGAAGGTGGAGTAGTCATCTGTCCTCAAGAAAGGGAAACAGACTAAATTGAACAAGACGGCTGAGCACTAGTCACCTGGCTTTGGTGTCAGGCACTGACACCAATTGACAGCAGAGAACACATTACTGCAGGAAAGTGAGGGTCATTTTATAAGAAAATCTAAGTTATCACTTCAAGAGCGACTTTGGTGCTTTTTCTTGTTGGAGATGAAACGTGGCTCACAAAAAGATGGAGTCCTGCTGCTTTCATGGTGAGACATGTGGGTGTGTGGCAAGCACATCTCAGGCCTGAAAGAAAGACAAGTATAGAAAGGTTTTTTTTTTTCCCCCTTTTGCTCAGAACATTGGTCTCTTCAAGGATTAGGCAGTCCTGTGAATATACAAGTAGCTTGTGAATCTTTGTAGAAGGCCAAGGCTTTGAAAGCAGCCCATGAGGAAGATAGCTGGAAGTCTGCTCAGAGACTGAGCTCAATGGGGGCCAGTAGCAAGGGTGAGGGGGCCTCACATCTTGGGCTAAGCCTTGTCCGTGGGTTTCAAACACTTAGCTTACAGCCCAGAATAAAATGCATTTCTGCAGGTCATAAGAAAAGTATATGTGTAGCTGAAATAAGCTTCATTAAATAGTACTCACTGTGCATTTACTTCTTACTGCCCATTGCATTGTTTTCTCTGTTTCTGCTCTACTTTTGTTCCAATCCTGTCTTTGAAAAACTGATGACCTGTTAATAGATCACAGTCCACTCTTAGGTAACCATTTGTTTAATGAATGGAAAACCCAGTTGCAGTGGAGCAGGTGTTCACTGGGGCCAGAGAGCACTGGTGGAGGTGGGGTGAACATAGAATTGGTGGGGAATAGCATGCCCTCAGTCATGGTGACTGAAAGGTGTGTGGAACCTCATCTAGGAAGGTGCAGGACTCACATAAGGGAGGTCAGCTGGATTGCAGATGCAGAATACCCTGTCTCCAGCAAAACAGCTGGTTTTGAGGGAAGGGGATGTGTGGAAGGAGTGAACTTGGATTTGAAAGTAGTGTCTTCAGAGCAGTAGATTTTTTTCTCTGTAGGTTCAATAAGACAAATGGAGTGAGCACAAGCTGCTGATGGACTTAGGCCAAGTCCACTTCCATCAGCTGGGTCCTGAGCTCAGGGCTCCTAGGACAGAGCAAGTGTAGGAGGCGCGCATCCCCCTCCTGCTTTGAGAAGTCCGTACTGAAGACGCGATGGAATATGTTGTTGCAAACCCTCACTTGCTGATCCAATGCGTTAGGAAGTTGGCTGCTTGCCTCAAAGAGAATTGGAAAAGGATTCTCATTGCATTTTATAAAAGGGCTAGATTGTCAAGACTTCCTTAGACATCTATTTCAGAAGTACAATCAAACTGGATTCATCATTCAGTCTTTGGGATTGCCAAAAAGGCTTCTTGGAGAAATAGGTGAGGCAGCACCCCGCATCCTTGAGCTGATTCCAGCATCTGTGCCCTCAAGTTAATCAAGGGCAGAGGCTCTCTGAAAGCCTTTGATTTTACTTGCAGAGCAATTAGCATCTTCTGCATTTAGTGCCCTCACCAGCAGGCAAGTACACAAAGCCTGGAGGAACCCTGCCCAGGTATCAGAGTCCACAGGTTGCCTGGTTACTGCTTGCTTTGATCGGCCACTTTCTGACCTTGTTGGAGCCTCCCTTTGACCTGTCTCTGCCTTGTCTACTTTTCTTAGCTTAGCTGATGTGTTTCCAGAGTTTGACTTGACCTCTCCTCCGCTATGTGTCTGCTGCTTTCAAACTTCATCTCACTGGTGTTGTCTGAAACTCACCTGATTGTTCCCACCAAGCCTGTACTTGATCCCAACCTGTGCTGTGTTGGTGACACTGTATCCTGTGAGGCCACTCCAGAGAAGTTTTTATAGATAAGCTTATGTATCTGGTTTTGGTTTAACTTTTGAATTTGGGTGATGTGGCACATCTGTCTTGGTCATATTAATTGTAATTGAGGTTCTCCAAATAGTCTTTGAAGAAATCCTTTAAAGCAAAAGTACAGCTTGCAGGTTAAAACTTCTCCCTATTTGGTAGGTATGTACATGTACTTAAAAGAAGCAGTGAGGAAGAAGGGACTTTCATCTGATGCGTAAGTTTAGAACACATTAGACATCTCCTTTTACAAAGAGTTAACATTTTAGGGACATAATTCCCCAACCCAGTCTTGCTCAATTACCATATTTTGTTCTAGAGCATGTAAAAATATTGAGACAATTGTGAATTTAATTAAATGCTTTATAACTTGTTATATTCTATTTTAAGGACTTACAAAAACTGCAGCTGTGTTCTGATTGAGAAAGATTCTTTGCCTTTTCATAGTTCTAAACTTACATGAGTTTCATTAAACAGATCAATTTCTTAATGCTTGGAGGAGGAGCCCAGAAGTTTAAGTAAAGGCTCGTGGGTGGAAGACCAGTCTGTCCAAAAGCTATGCTTAGCCGCCCACAACAGAGGCCAGTCTGGCACATCCCAGCTTACTATCTCTAAGCCAAACCCTTAAGACATTAGGTGTTTTGATTACTTGAGAATGCCTGATAGCCTCCAGACCTTACATTTTTCAGTGTTTCTTTTTTTATTACAAAAGTGAAACTTGCTCATTGTAAAAAAGTTACAGATAACCAATACTAAAAAGAATGGAAAATCACTTCTACCCCCAACTCTCACTTGCC